TCGACCCTCCTCGACCTCTGGAAGGCTTCCGAGCAGATTCTACACGGCCAGGTCCTGCAGGCATGCCAGGCCCACAACTTCCCGCTCTGGCTGGCCAAGTAGCAGATCAACCTGTACAGGTTGCCCCGCGCAGTCTGCCTGGAGGGTTGCTGCTCAGACGAGCTGGTGGTGATGCAGACGGTGCTGGCAGGCGACGCGTTCGCCGCTACTTTCATGAAGGTGATGCTCCTCACTCCATTGGACACGATGGCGATCAAGCATCGCGCTGTGGTTCCCGCAGTAGTCGTGGACGACCTGGTGATGCAGCGCTGGGGCGGGGCCAGCAAAGTCGAGAAGGACCTGATTGCCAGCGCCAAGCTCTTGGTCAAGGAGCTAAGCAAGGTGAAGCTCAAGGTCGCGACGAAGAAGTCCAGGATCCTCGCGAGCAGTGCCAAGCTGAGGAAAGGGCTCCAGGCCAAGCTCATCGAGGCTTGCGGTGCTGTTGCAGTGTCGAATGCACGCAACCTTGGAGTCGACCATGCTGAAGGTGGGCGGCGTGCCAGTGCGGTGCGGAAGCTGCGCGTGGCCAGCGCCAAGGCGCGGCTCCCTCGCATCGAACGACCTCTGGGGCTACGGCGAGGCCGAGCCGCAGCGGCTAAAGTCGCGTTCGCAGGCCTTATGCCCAGCATCATGTATGGAGTTTCGTGCGCTGGGATGTCTGACAGCGAGCTCAAGCACACCAGGGCGCTGGTAGTCCGGGCCATAGAGCCAGGACCGCAGGGCAAGTCCACCACTGGTTGCCTCGTCTTCGGCGGGCCGAGCGACGTCGACCCGATGTATGGCGCGACCTTGGCGCCTGTTTGCACCCTCGCACGTGCGCTATGGGAAGGCTGAATCCCTGCAAGTGTGCTCAAGTCGACTTTCGACGGCTTCGCGAGGCACGTACGCACATGGAGCGAGGTCCGAGGGCCAATCTCTGCGGCAGCCCTGACGCTAAGGCGCGTAGGCTACGACGTGCGCAGCTTCGACCAGTGGCTCAGGCACAACACTTGCGAGGCCATAAACATCGCATGCTCTTCGCCATGGTACATCAAGCAGGTGCTACGCAAGGACGTGCAGGCCTGGCAGCAGCGACAGCTAGCGGCTGACACGCACGAGGGCATCATCAACGGCGCCTTCGTCCCACATTTGCGCAGGTGGCTCAGCACAGGCAAAGCCTCCACTGCTTAGGGCCGCAGGTGGAAGCCGCTGGACGAACAGCAGGGGCTACATGAGGTCGCTACTGGTGCACGGGCAGTGGCTCAACCAGCGACGGTGCGAAGCAGCGCCGCGACTCGCTCCTACGCCGTATTGTGCGCTACATCCGAACGCTCTGGGCACCCTGTGGCGCCGTCACCTGGAGTGCTGCGAGAGTTGGCCGAGCTTCGAGATACCAGAGGAGCTGGTAAGGTTCAAGCAGTTCGAGTCCAGTGTCACTATCAAGATGCTGTTCGAGCGGCTCCTGCTGCCCGGGCCCAGCCACGACTGGCGCCCCCCGCAGGACGACCTGCTCCAGGGGCTGCGGTGGATCAAAGGAGATGCTGGCCCGTTCACCAGCACCGAAGTGTTTGCCGACGGATGCTGCTACGAGGCTGGCCCTTCGCTGGCGATGGCAGGGTGCGCAGTGGTCGAGCTACCGCCTGGGCCAGAAGGAGAAGACCAAGGCAGGGGATCTTGCGTCAAAGCCATGGGCGCCCCTTTACCTCGGCCGATCCAGTCGATCGACGGAGCCGAGCTGCTCGCGCTCCATGCAATACTCAGGCACTCGCTCCCTCCCATCGCGGCCCACTTCGACGCCGACTACGTGGTCAAGAGCTCGACGGAGAGAGGACGCGAGGCCACTACCTCACATGAGTCCGCCTGGGGGGAGATCTGGCGCAGGATTTGGCAGGCGCTGGACGACTTCGGCGACCTCAGCAGCGACGGTCTCACGGTGCGGAAGGTCAAGGGCCACGCGTCCTTCAAGGAGGTGGACGAGGGCAAGATCACGCTACGACGTCGGCGGGGCAACTACGAAACTGACCGCGCGGCGAAGTTCGTCACGGACCACATCCGAGCGCCAGAGCAGGCGCGTGAGGCCAGAAGTACCAGGGCGCCCACTTTGGACGGCGCGGTCCTCTGGGTATCGCAGGCTGGCGCCGAAGCTGCTGACCTCAGGATGGACTTTCGCGACAAGTACAGGGAGCCTGAGACCAAGGGCCCCAGGCTTTACATCGCCAAGCACGAGCTTGTCAAGATCGCGGGCGGAGCCGAGGGCGTCCAGGCGCTCCAGTGCCTGCGGTGCCTGCGGTCGGCCTTCACCGACATCTCGACCAAGAACCTCCCAAGGCAGAGCTGCGTGCCGAAGGCCTTTGCTCCTGGCGCCTACACCAGCGGGGGCAAGAAGCGGCCGAGTGCCTCTGCCCTGGCGCATGCTGGCGCCGCCGCAGTGGCGGTAGCAGCAGCGCGCCGATTCGTGGAGGACGAGAGCCAGCCCACCCACGACAGTGGGGGGGCGAGCAGCAGCGTGGCGGGCCCCTCCCTCGTACAGCATCGTGGCGGGAGCCAGAGCCTGGGATCCGACGGCGACGGCGACCTGCGTGCTGACGAGGTGCAGCCGTTGGAGAGCCCCCCCCTTTTCAGCGTCGTGGCGAAAGCCAGATTCTGGGATCCGTCGGTGACGGTGGCCTGCGTGCTGACGGGGAGCTGCCGACGGCAGGCGACGGGGGCGCTGTGGCCCAGCCTGCTGCGCCGCCGCCTAGCGGCTCTGGCGCGCTCGACGCGGATGGAGGCGGCCACGACCTTCGCACGTACTTCGGGTACCGTGTCTGCCTGAGGTGCTTCCAGCACGCGAAGGAGGTGAAAAAGGGCAAGCACAGGGGGCTCGGCATGGCCTGCGTCCCAGCGCTGAAGCCCAGCGCCCAGGCCGAACGCAGAAGGAAGGCTGATAAGATAATGAGAGGAGTGGCTCCTTCGGGGAGGCCACTCGCGTAATGATGTCGCGGCGGGCGGTCTCCAGAGGCGGCCAACAGGGCTGCCGTGTGGCCCGCGGCGCAGAAGCTGGACGTGCGCGCTGCGCGCACTCAGGCTGCTGAGTAAATTCTCGGCCGCCGAGGGCGCAACCTATGGCGCAACCGATAGGGGGCGGTTTTATTCACGGGCGCCGAGGGCGCAACCTATGGCGCAACCGATAGGAGATGGTTTTAATCTCGGCCGCCGAGGGCGCAACCCATGGCGCAACCGATAGGAGACGGGTTGATTCTCAGTCGCCGAGGGCGCAACCCATGGCGCAACCGATAGGAGACGGTTTCATTCTCGGCCTCCGAGGGCGCAACCTATGGCACACCCGATAGGAGACGGTCTCATTCCCACCCGCCGAGGGCGCAGTTTCTGGCACAGCCGATAAGAGATGGTTTTATTCTCAGTGGCGCAACCGATCGGAGACGTCTTCGTTCTCGGCCGCTGAGGGCGCAGCCTATAACGCAACCGATAGGGAACGGTCTTATTCTCTGCCGCCGAGGGCGCAACCTATGGCGCAACCGATAGGAAACGGTCCTATTCTCGGCCGCCGAGGTGCCAGGAGAAGGGGGGTGAGCAGGAGGAGGAAGAGTAGAAACGAGGACGAGGTCCTAGACGAGGACGACGAGGAGGAGCTGGAGCAGGAGGAAGGCGAGGAGGGAGGAGGACGAGGAGGACGACGAAAACGATCAGGATGGGGAGGAAGACGGACAGGAATACGAGTAGTACGAGGACGAAGTGTGGGCATTCGAATGTTCGTGGGGCTACGCCCGATTTATGCTCGCCGTTTGGGCTGGCGGTGGGGCCTGGGCGGCGAGCAGTCTTGTGATTTTTGTTTGGGGGACTTTTCTGGGGTCCACCTCGCAGATCCGTTCGACTCCTGTTCGACTTTTGGTTCGAGTCTAGTTCGACTCCAGCTCGACTCAAGTTCGACTCTAGCTCGACTCAGGGGTGACCCAAGTCAGCGGGCGTTCGACGCAGCGTCGGCGCACGAGTCGAGCGAGCGGCTCTCCAGGAAGGTCTCCAGAACGAGCTTCCAAGGAAAGAAGATGCACCCCTCCTCCTCCTCCTCCTCCTCCTCCTCCTCCTCCTCCTCCTCCTCCTCCTCCTCCCCCTTCTCCTCCTCCTCCTCCTCCTCCTCCTCCTCCTCCTCCTCCTCCTCCTCCTCCTTTCTCCTTCTCCTCCTCCTCCTCCTCCTCCTCCTCCTCCTCCTCCTCAGAGGGCACGGGACTTCGGATCGCGTCGACCTCTTGCGCCACCAGTCTCCGAGAGTTTGCTCCCCGGAGTGGGGCCGTTTTTGGGATGAGGGAGGGCACTCAGATGCACCCCTTGCACCAGCGTCGAGGATGGAAGCCCCCTCCCTTAGCGTAGGTCTCCGAGTTTGGCCCCGACTTTTTGGTCCAGTCGACCCCCCCACAAAGTCTGGGACCTGGGTCGCCAATAGCCCGCGCTGGAGATGTGCGGCCCGCACGGGGGCTTCAAGACCAGCCGTGGTGTTGGAAGGGTACCCTTTTTGGTGTACCTTTCGTGCCCTTCGCGCCTGGGATCCCCCCTTGGAGTGCCATTCGTTGGGGGCATCCCCACATGGGGCCTTGGGCCTTCGGCGACGGGGCTCTTGGCCTCGAGCCCTGCTCTGGTGGCCGATCTCCCGTGCCCCTCCCTCGCGCTCGCCCTCTCGAGGGCTGCTGGGGAGCCCTCGTCGCCACGGCTGGACGCGCCTTGAGATCCGGGCCAGAGCGCACCACCCCTGGAGAGGTCCAGGGACCACCCCTGGGGAGGTCCAGCGAGTACGGTCGGGAATTCGGTGCGACACGACACCTGCTCCGTGGTCCCGAGACGTCCACGTGCCGAGCTTTTCCGAGCTTCCGTCCGGCGGATCAGAGCGACACGCCATCCGCTTGCAGGGCACAGCGCGCCGCCGAGGCCGCCGCCGCCACACGCTATACAAAACCGTTAGCGGTACCAGCATCTTGCTTTCCCTCCAGGCACTTGCTGTGCGCCGCGCGCCAACTGCACCGCGCTCGCCGGCGCGTGCCCCGCTGGCTCCAGCCTGAGGAGTGACGCCGCGCAGGCTGGGGATGGGTTGCGCTTCAGGATTGCTCACGAGGGGCCCAGCAGGGAGGGAGGGAAGGAGGAGGAGGAGGAGGAGGAGGAGGAGGAGGAGGAGGAGGGGAGGAGGAGGAGGAGGAGGGAGGGGGAGGAGGAGGAGGAGGAGGAGGAGGAGGGAGGAGGAGGAGGAGGAGGAGGAGGAGGAAGAGGAGGAGGAGGAGCCTCGCGCCCTCGTGCTCCGCCACGGAACGCTCCCGCCCGTCATCGCGGCGCCCGCGCCGGTCCTTGCGGCGGGCAGCGTGCTCGCGGAGGGAAGCCTGGAGGTCGCGAGCCTGGTCGGCGACAAGGGGGCGCTGTACGCGCGGCTGCGGACGTTGCGTGCGGCCAGCCTGGGCAGCCAGACCGCGCTGGCCCTGCGCCGGACGCGGACGGGCTCGGACAACGTGTTCCTGGCGCGCACTTGTGGCATCCCAGAGACATAGGGGGCTGCCAAGGACGCCGCGCTGGCTTCTGGAGTGCAGCACATCCTCGGGCAGCAGCTGGGACGACGCCGCCCGCAAGAATCTGCTCGTGGCGGCAGCAGCGGGCGCACTGGGGCTCCAGAGCGTGGTACTCACCGCGCCGGCGGCGCACGCGGCCTCGTGGCACCTTTGCCTGCCGCACTGCCTCCGCAGACTGAAGCACGCGGGGGCCAGCGTCCCAGCCGGGGCGAGCCCTTGGGCGAGCACTTGCCTCCCCGCCGCCACACGGGTCCTCCAGAAGACTCTCGAAGACCAGACCGCCCATGTCGGCGACGAGGGGCTGGCACCAATGCAGAACATAGGCTTCGGCCCCACTCGCTGCGGCTGCCCGCCGTGTCGCGCACGGAGCCGCGGCCGATCCGCCCTCGGCGGTTGCCTTACACAGCGCGGGGGGTGCCGGCGCGAGCGGGTGGCTGCAGCCGCCCGCGCGGCCGTGCCAACGGTTGACGGGCTCGCAGCAGTGCGGCATCTCCCTCAGGACGCGGTTGCACTTGAACCTGCCGGCGCGGGCTTCTGCCAACGCTGTCACCTGGACGGCAGAGTGCGGCGTGGCCCCGGGCCCGAAAGGGGTGCGCGCCCGCGGGTGCGACGTGGGGGGCTGGCGCGTGCGCCAGCGCGACGCCGTGTGCGCAGCCCTTGCCAAGTGATTCGAGGGGCAGGGGTGCACCGTGCACAAAGAAGTGCTGGTGCCCCACGCGACGCCCGCGAATCTGGAGGCCCGCGTGGACCTCGTCGTCCACGCGCCTGGGCTGGGGGGTCCAATCCTGGCGGACCTCACGGTGGTCAGTGCTCTCACCCAAGACGCCCTTGGTCTCGGCGCGCCGCGCCGCGAGGGCGCTGCTGCGGCAGTCGCGGAGCGCCGCGAGCGAGCGCGCTACTCTGGCGCGCCGGTGGTGCCGTTCGCCATCGAGGACCACGGCCGCCCGGGGGAACACCCGGATGCGTTGCTCCGCCGGCTGGCGCCGACGGAGGCGACAGAGCGTTCGGCCGCGATCCGGCACCTACATCAGGCCATAGATGGCGTGTTGCAGCGACGCGCGGTCGACGCCGTGCTGGTGGCCACCCAACACAGGCCTTGGCGAGAGGCTAGAGGGGGCCGGTGGCCCAGCGCGCCCGGTGGATCACGAGGTGGCGGTCGCCCGGATGAGGAAGATACGGAGATGGCGGAGGTCGAGGCGGAGGCGGCCAGGAGTCCGCTGCAGGAGAAGGAGGAGGAGGAGGAGGAGGAGGAGGAGGAGGAGGAGGAGGAGGAGGAGGAGGAGGAGGAGGAGGAGATGGAGGAGGAGGGAGGGGGAGGAGGAGGAGGAGGAGGAGGAGGAGGAGGAGGAGGAGGAGGAGAGGGGAGGAGGAGGAGGAGGGAGGAGGAGGAGAGGAGGAGGAGGGAGGAGGAGGAGGAGGAGGAGGAGGAGGAGGAGGAGGAGGAGGAGGAGGAGGAGGAGGAGGACAGGAGGAGCGAGCGAGCAGCCGAGCGGCGGTTGGAGGGCCCGCGGACGGGCGAGGAGCCCACAAAGGCCTCACCCCCGCCGCCCTGCGCCCGCATTACGGAGCCCGAAGGCCAGGGCCGCGTTGCAGGCAGTGGGCGGTGGGGCGAGGCCCCCCCAGCGGGGCGGCAAGCGGGGCCAGGGAGCACAGAGCCTGCGGCAGGCCCGTGTTCACCAGCACGAAGCCCGCCACGACGCGGAAGCTCGCGTCGAGGACTCCCAGCGACCGCAGCACGTCATTGCCGTTCATGAGGTCGTCGGTCGCCTGGGCGTCACCAGCGCAGCCGCGGCCACTGATTCACAGCGCGAAACTTACCCACGCGCCAAGTACAGCTTAGAGCCGCACGGCGCAAAACAGACTGGGTGTGCCCAGTATGCAGGAACTCAGGGGCCAGATGAGCTGCAATCCCGAGGGCCCAGGAAGGACAGCGCCTGCTTTGGCAACCGAACCTGCCCTCGACAATTAGGATTTTGAAATCGAGCAAGTTGAAGGAACCTCTGGTAGAGGACCGCCACAGCTCCTGACCTGGGCTCAACCCCAGGCTGTCAACAAACATGCTCATCATCGCTGGCGACGTTTGGGCCTCCATCAGGATCTGGCTGGCCCAGTCCCACAGCCTTGTCATATGAGAGCTCATGCCCTTTGAGGATTCTGGGCGCGTTGAGGTACTGGTTCCCGACCTCGAGAGGGCCCCCTGACTGTGGACTGGCACCGTCGCCACCGTGTCCACCAAGGGGTCCGTCCAAGGCTTCTTCTTGCGCGAGGGTTTTCTCGTCCCCGAAGTAGTTTTCAACGGGCCCTCGGGTCTTGCGTGCTTCATGGCGCGTTGCGGATCTCTGAGGTCCAGTGAATGTCTCGTGTTCTCAGCCCCCCCTAATACTTGCAACAAGGCGTGCAGCGCGCAAGACCAAACTCCAGCCCAGAAACGCGATACTCAAATAAGGCATGTTGTCCAACATACCATGGCTCTGCAAACTGCGACTCTTGCCGCTTCGCATTCTCGATCGCCTCGTCATCATCCTCAGTCACTGGGAATATGTAATCCAGCAGCTCGTCGCCTTGGGCATGGCACCGCGCGCCAAACCTCGCTGGGAACTCGAGCTGAAGTCGGTGGAAGCGCCGACAGCCCTTCGCGAAAGAGACCTGCTGCCCGGGTGGGAGGTGATACCAGGCTCCGCTTTTGGCCCTTTTGTCTGCCTCCTTGCTGCCGCCCTTTCGAACATCCGAGATGCGTGATTCCCGAGCGTCGTTCAGCGTGGAGCGACCTTCGACGTGGGCGTAGCATTGGTCCAGGAAGTGCTTCCTCATCTCGGTCACCTTCCAGATGCGAGCTCGGGCGCGCTCGGCCCCCGTCGCCCACTCGAGGTCCCGGGGGCATGCGGGTGAGCTCTTGCAGTCCGAGAGGAGGGTCCACGTGCCGAGCACCAGCCTGCTGGCCTGACATGTCGCGCAGTCCTCCCCGTCTTTGGCCACTTGCATGGGGCCAAATTGTTTAGGAAACGAGCTGCAGAAACGTCCAACTCTCCTTCTATCTTTGTCGTGTGCAATGACAGCCCGCTCTGCCACGCTGAGCTCGGGTGCGTTCGTCAGCGTGCCACCGCCGTCGGCGAACGCGCGGCCGTTCTCGACCGAAATCACCCCCGCCTGGTCAACGTCAATGAATTTAAACTCCGCCGATCTGGGTTGATTGGAGAAAGCCTGTGCTGGGCTCTGCAAGATCCCTCTGGCAAGCCTTGCTGCGCGGCGTGGGGCAGCTTGCCTATCTCCGCTGCTGATACTCGAACGTGGTCTAGGATCGACGTCTGCCTCTTTGTCCAGCATGAGCGTCGCAGTAAAAGTGCATGTGAAACAACGTTCCAGAGGCAACGCCACATCTGGTGCATAAGTGGCTCTGATCTGGAAATGCACGTGCGACTCCAGCCTGGCACCAGTGTCCACAAGTACCTCTTCTCACGTGGTGACAGCTTCTCTGCCTTCGTGGCCGACTGGAGCGGCCCCCGGGAAATGTCGCCGAGCCTGCGACCTTCCTCTTCGCCGCGTGGAGTGCGCGGCGCGTGGCGACTGACATGTCTCTGAACTCTTGTATTGGCAATGTCCGAGAGAGGCTCCGCCGAGTAGAATGACGTGCTCCAGCTCCTTCCTACATCATCTGCGACCCTCTCCGCGGAATCCAGGGGTCGCCCCATATTGTGCAGCGAGACTGACAAGGCTGCCACTGTGTTCCGGACTTTGTTCCAAGCATGAGGGCCCTGCGGCGGCGGGCGAGCTTCCACGAACAAATCGTTCACCAGCTTACTTGCGACCGTCCCCGCTCCCAGAATCGCCATGCAGGTCTGAGTCGCGTCCGACGTTGCTGTCGCGAGCGGGTCCGAGCGCCGCCCGCGCTCTGAGAATGGCAGGGCGAGGCCGACGTGTGCCCTTGGTTTGAACCTGCCTGCGGCGTTCAGAGAGGACATTCTGAGTTGCTGTGTGCGACCTTTCGGGGCCCTGGCAATACTGCAACCCTAGAGGCTTTTGGCAAGCGCGCCAGCGCGATGGACTGCAGAGCGTTCCATCCCTAGGCCTTGCAAGGCCTGAATCCGATCACCTTTCCTCCTGGCCTCCTGGGCCCTCGTCAACTTGGTCCCTATGCGCCGGCGTCGACCGTCGACGGCGCCCCCTCCGAGATCCCGATGATACTCCTCGTGCCTCAGGAACGGGACATGGTCGGGGCAAAACTTCACGAGGTCCCTGGCGACTTCGAAAACAAACACAATTCCTTGTCTCTGACGAGCAAGCCCATCTTGTCCCAGGAGATCGGATGGCCCTTCGACTTGAGGCCTTCAAGTCGGTACTACAGGGCAAATATCATTTCCTTGATCACGGCTTGCTCGCCTCCGATCGAGTGGAGGCTGATGTCATCGATGAGGCTCTTGATCCTCGCCGTCGGGCATCTTGCGCCGATGTGTCTCAACGTGGTGACTGTCATCAGTTTGGCCAGTCCAGTGGCGCACGAGTGCCCTGCAATTACCGACCCGTTAGCAGGCGACGCGGCTGATGTCGAACGCTGGTTCGCGGCCCTCCTGGGCCTTCTGTGCAGACAGCAAATCGGTTTCAACGGCCGAATCGGACAGCCAGTGTCTGTGGCAGCACAAGATAGTTCTCCGTGGCTGATAATTTCATGGAATTGCCCGAGATCAACAGAGGGGCTAACACTGATTAAATTGTACTCTGGGGCGGCACTCGACAACGCACTGTGGGTCCGAGCCGACTTATCACGCGATATTTCAGACGAGGAGCCCCAGAATAATTTGTCCCCACATGGCCTCCCATTTGGCAACTTCCTTGCGTCTCAGCCAAGACCAAGTCCCACCGAGCCGGGGGGGGCGCCAATGGGGCGCACTCCTCCTTGGGGCTTAGCAAGAAACGCAATGATAATTAGCATCATATCCTTGTCCTCCATATCCGTGTCCTCTGGGTTCTCCTCCCGGCGCTGCAACGGGGCAGTGGGGGCCTCGAGCAAAACTTCTGGCGTGCGATCGATCCAGCGCGGGTGGAATCCGCGCCGCTTCAGCGCCGTCTTGGCTTTGAAAGTTCGCGGCGCAGACCTGGCGTACTTTGCCTCAATCATTGGAAGGTGCGGAGACTCCTCGACGTCCCAGGTGAGAGGGTGAGATTCACAATCGCGCTCAGGAACAGTCCACAGGCTCGCCCTTTCATCCAGCATCGTCTGGAGTGCGCCATGCCCTATCACAGGGAGGCCACTTGAATCCTGGTCCCCAGGTTCCACACCTCTGGGCCCATGGGAAAACGATGCGTTGAATCAGCGCCATTTTTAAACGCGAGCTCTGCGGCGGCGGCTGCGTCGGCTCTTGCGGCGGCTCTTCGGCTCTTGCTCTGGCGGCGGCTGCGTCGGTAGCCGTGTGCGTCGGCGCCTTATCCTGGACAAACTTACAGGCGGCTCCTCTGAGAGCTTCTGGGGAGAGCTGCTTCAAAAACTGTTCACAGTCGCTTGTCTCGGAACCGACCGGGAGCGAGCCCTCGCCCCCGCCGACGTCCCAAGCATCCCCCCACGCCCTGAGTCGACGCTCGGCGCTGGCCTTCGACTGCTGTTGGGCAGGGCTGGTGGGGTCTGACGCGCGAGGCCTTTGCGTGGCGGGGCGTCTGATGCTGAGCCATTTTTGGGTTAGGGGAGTGGCCTTCCTCCTGAGGCTCTTGCCCCATTCGCAAGTCAGGGGCGCTTTTTCCAGGCGACAGCCGAATTCTTGACAGCGGTGTCTCTGCTGTCCGACTCTGGTGTGGCAAGGAACATGCGCGAAAAGGTCTCCGCTGAATGAAGCCAGCGACGCGCCAGACTGTCCGCCGACTCCTCCGTCTTCCAACTCGAAGCCCGGCCAATCTGAGACATCTCCTTGCGCGACGGCCGGCCCCGACTGAGGCGGCTCAAAAACTTCGGGCTTGACCCGTCTGTAACTGTACTTCTGACCTCCGAGCCCAGCAAGGGTGAGTTTGATGGCCCTGTGGGGGCAAAAGCGCGCGGCTTCCAGGACCGAAACCGACTGGGCGAACGGAAGCAAACCATCGCTGAGCACAGAAAAATCTAGCAGGGCGTCGTCGCGCGCTGGCCTGCCACGATTCACGACATCCGCGTGCAAGATATTCGAGAAACCTGCTCTGGGATGCGAGCCTCGGCCGAGACACTCGGCTTCAGATTGCCAATCTCCTGCAACGATGAAAGGCAGGCGTGCTGCTCTGAGAATCTCGAGCAGCGAAGCCAGCAGCTCCGCGTCGCCAGCAACTCCCACGCTGCAGACAGCATAGATCGAGACGAGCATGAGCTGCATCCCTCCGAGCACCATGCGCTGGAAGAGCAGCCAGGTCTTGTCGTGCTCGATCTGGGGCTCGACCTCGTCGCGAACCACGTTGGCCGCAGTCAGAAACCCAACGCCACTGGGCGTCTCGGTGCGCTTCTCGCCCGTCACCGCACATCCGTTGGTCAGGAACTCGTAGCCGCGCTCGCGCGCCCCGCTCTGCGCAGAACGTAGCTGGTCGCCAATGCGCAGCCTATGCTCCTGGCCAAAGGCCATGTCGGGCTGGTCGTCCCGCTGGTCCCAGACATTCCGCTCTAAGAAGCCCTGCATCGTGCTCCAGGTGTTGCTGTTGTAAGACATGAGAGACAGAGTGGTAGAAACAGGCATCTGATCCAAAGGCTCGGAATCCGCGGCCCACTTGAGCTGGTCGATCAGCTCAGCGTTGGACTTGTCCTCCCAAGTGATGTCAGAGGATTGGTCCACAGACCTGCTAGGCACTGAAGTGTCATCGTCGCTCCCCGTGAACTCCGAAAGCCCCGACCCCGAGTAGTCGGGGAACGCCGACCCACCGTGTGAAACTTTGAACTGCTTGTGCTTGTGCTTGACGCGGTAGGCGCCCCCCTGGTCTGCCGTGCAGGCAGCGGGGGGCGATCGATCGGGATGGAAGCCGTTTGCTGCCCGCGAGCGAGCACGGGCTCGCACGATGGCCTCCTCGGCCGCCTCCTCCACGTACTCCTTGACTTGTTCACGGGGAGTCGAGAGCTCCACCGTGTCGGGCCCCCAAGGCCGAGGTAAGTACGGGTCACAGCGCTGATAGGAGTGGACCTGCGAGTAAATACTTCGAGAAGTGAGGGAGAGAGAGCGAGAGAGAGAGAGAGAGAGAGAGAGAGAGAGAGAAAGCGAAAGAGAGAGAGAGAGAGAGAGAGAGTGGGTGAGAGCGAGAAGACAGAGACATAGAAATAGAGGAGACAAGATATATAGAGAGAAATGTAATGCGAGATGGAGGGGAAGAGAGGAGATCATTGACAATGCGATCATGGGTGATCGTTTTAGGACTGAAGGTGGGAGAGAGAGAGCGGGGGTACAGGCAGAGCTACATGCAATTGTACCGGGCAGGCTGGGAGCACTTGCGCAGTTACGGGTAAGAGTGCCCCCCTCGGCCTTTTTGATGCCAAGACACATCAGCATTTGCGCGCTGCATTTGCCCAACAGCCGCCCTGTTGCTTTCAGATTCACTGTTGGGTGGTGATCGCTGGTCAGAGTGAGGGGGCCGAACGGTCCTACACCATCCGTGGGTGCGTGCCTGGAGTGGGCTACTGCGTTGAGGATTCCTCTCGTTTCTTCCTTGTTGCTGTCTTCGCCCGCGACCCACCCGCGACCCGATCCTCCCGCGACCCGCCTGCGACCCGCCCGCGACCCCCGCGCTCCGCGCCGCCTCCGCGCCAGACCGAGTGTGCGGGCGAGCTGTGCACCGCCTCGGACTGGGGCGTCTGCTGCGAGGACGGCCTCGCCCCCCCAGGGCTCGTTTCGATTCCTCCGATTCGATTCGATTCGATTTCGATGGCTTCCGATTCCGATTCGATTCGACTTGGGATTCCGATTCGGATTCCGACTTCTTATGGGACGCATAGTAGCCTGCCGATTTCCGCCGATCTGACTTTTCCCGACTCGGCTGCCGATTTCCGCCGATCCGATTCATTTCGATCGCCGATCCGGCTTATCGATTCGATTATGGGCTCTCCTGCCCGCGGCAGGCTCGGCCGAGCGCGAGGGGTCGGAGTCGCAGTAGGAAAAAAAAGGTGCCGCTGCCGCTACCCTGGCCTCGTTTTCGCCACTGGGAGGCCCTCGTCGCCACGGCTGGGTTCGCCTCGCAGTTCTTGTCGGAGCGCACCCAGGGGGAGGTGCCGGGAGCAGCGGTAAAATTACTTCTTGTTGTTTCCCCAGGAACGTGAATTCTTTACGCTTCGCGTATCCCCACCAGCCCATCTCACAGCAGCAACTCTTGCGAAGCATGCCGACAGTCGTGTTTTTCAGGCGTGCGTCCGCTTGGGCCCGCATATCTCCCCTGTTCCTCCTTCCTCCCGCCTCCTTGTACATCCTCCTTGTGGGGGGAGCGGGAGAAGGACGAGGCGGAGGAGGAGGGAGAGAAAGCGCTCCTCGTGATTTGAGTCGTTTGGGGTTTCTCGTCCTGGTGTGAGTCGTTCGGGCCCTTCTTCCTGGTGTGAGTCGTTCGGGCTCTTCGTGGTGTGAGTCGTTCGGGCTCTTCGTCCTGGTGTGAGTCGTTCGGGCTTCTCGTGGTGTGAGTTGTTCGGGCCCCTCATCCTGGTGTGAGTCGTTCGGGCCCCTCCTCCTGGTGTGACTCGTTCGGGCTCCTCGTGGTGTGAGTCGTTCGGGGCCCGCGTCGTGGTGTGAGTCGTTCGGGCTCCTCGTGGTGTGAGTCGTTCGGGCGCCTCGTCCTGGTGTGAGTCGTTCGGGCCCCTCCTTGTGGTGTGAGTCGTTCGGGCTCTTCGTGGTGTGAGTCGTTCGGGCCCCTCGTCCTGGTGTGAGTCGTTCGGGCTCCTCGTGGGGCCTCTTGGGGGCCTCTTGGAGCCTCTTGGGGCCTCTTGGGGGCCTCTTGGGGGCCTCTTGGGGGCCTCTTGGGGGCCTCTTGGGGCCTCTTGGGGCCTCTTGGGGGCCTCTTGGGGGCCTCTTGGGGGCCTCTTGGGGCCTCTTGGGGGCCTCTTGGGGGCCTCTTGGAGGCCTCTTGGGAGCCTCCTGGGGGCCTCTTGGGGCCATCTTGGGGCCTCTTGCGACCTCCTCAGAAGCGCAAATGAGCGCTGCCCCCTGAGAAGGACAAAATGAGGCCAAAACCTTCGTAAAATCAATGATTTTGCTATGAAGGAAGGGGAGCGCTGCCCCCTTAGAAGGCCAAAATGGGGCCGAAACCGTAGTAAAATCAATGATTCTGGCTTCAAAGAAGAGGAGAGGGTTTTTTCTCCGGCCCCCCGTCGGGGCCAGAATCCTCGTGAGGGTCGTCGTTTTTTAGCCCTCCCAGGAGTCGAAATTGACCCCCCTGACGACCCGCGGGGCGCCCTCTCCAGGCCCAGGGGGAGGGGGTAGGGGGAGGGGTAAACCCCTCCCCGAAGGGGAAGAAGGGGGGTTGAGGACAGAGGGGGCTCGCTAAACCACTCACGCCCAAAGGGCTGGTGGGATTTTCCACGCTCCTGCGGGTTCCTTGGATCGGCGCTGGGGCCCACCGTTCGGCGCCTGTCGCGCCGCCCCTGGCGCGCTCCGCGCGCCAGGGGGTGGTGGTTCAGTGCTGCAGATCCAAGGCTTCCGCGTGGAACTCCTCAAGTGTTTATGCAGTTTCTTCTTCTTCTTCTAAAGCTTGGAGCCGGCTAAGGGCCTGAGGTGGCCTAGCACCGGTTCCGATCAGCAGAGCAGGGGGAGAAATATCCCCCTCGTCGCCACGGCTGAGCGCGGCTCGAAAAACGAAGAAGGAGATGTCTGGGCCCAGGTTCCCTCGCGATAGCGGCCGTTACCAGAGAGGGGAGGGGGGGGAGGAGGGGTCGGGTAACGTAACGACTCGCGCCGGCGTTGTCTTGGAATTGATTACCCCGCGCCATTTCCAGACGGCGACGGCGCCAATCGTCGCGTTGCCAGGGGTTGGGAAGGAGGGGGGGCGCGCCCCCTGTAGCGGGGCGTCATCATCGCGAGTCGTAGGAGAACGCGCTTGTGCCGAGCTTGGGAGCCTGCTTAGGGGGCCACATGCGAACCCTACCCCTACCCCCCACGAGTTCTGAGGGGGAGGGCTCGCATGCGTCGCGAAGAGCTTTTTCAGCTTGGACCACAGGCGAAGTCCTGGCATCTGTTTTGACCAGGACTGCCCCCTCCATTAACGTGTGCTCTCGGGGCCCGTCCAGCGCAGATCCCTTGGCCGCTTCCGATGCCAAGTCCCCCTCCCTTGCAGGATCGGTCGCGAGCCTGGTCGGGTTGGCTTCGAAGCCTCCCTTCGGCCGCAGAGGCAGGCGGAGCCAGTCGGTGGAAGAGGAGGCGCGAGAGCAGGAGAAGGAGCACGGAGGAGGAGGAGGAGGAGGAGGTGGAGGAGGAGGACGGGGAGGGGGGGGAGGGAGCTTTGGCAGTGGATGGCGAGGAGGACGTCCCAGCGTGCAGGAGCAGCACCAGGACTAGGGGCGAGCAGAGAGTTGAATGATGCTGCTGCTGGTGATGATGATGATGATGATGATGATGATGATGATGATGATGATGATGACGATGCTGACGACGATGGTGATGGTGGTGGTGGTGATGATGCTGATGATGACGATGACGGTGCTGCGGATGATGATGGTGATGATGATGATGATGGTGATGATGATGAAGATGATGATGATGATGGGGTGATGATGATTATGACGACGACTACGACGACGATGATGATGATGGTGATGATACCAGTGATGATTATGATGATGTTGTTGATGATGATGATCATTGCGGTGATGCTGATGATGATGACGATGATGATGCTGACGATGCGAAGGATGATGATGATGATGATGATGATGATGATGATGATGATGATGATGATGATGATGATGATGATGATGCCAATGGCGATGATGATGCTGATGCTGCGGATCCTGATGACGGTGGCGGTGGTAATTCTGAGGATGATGATAAGAATGATGTTGATGCTGCTGATGTTGCTGATGATGCTGATTACGATGATGATGACGATGACGATGACGATGCTGATGATGATGGTGATGATGATGACGATGATGATGATGATGATGATGATGATGATGATGATGATGATGATGATGATGATGATGATGCTGGTGATGATGGTGATGATGCTGATGATGCTGATGCTGATGCTGATGGTGATTCTGCTATTGATGGCGAAGCGGGTGATACTGATTGTGCTACCGATGATGGTCAAATTGATGTTGATGATGATGATGATGATGATGATGATGATGATGATGATGATGTTGCTGATGGTGATTCTGATTCTGAGGAGGAGTAGGATGATGAGGCCCATGAGGATGATTCTGCTGCTGATGTTGCCGACGATGTTGCTGCTGCTGCTGATGATGAAGATGAAATTGATGATGGTGCTGAGTATGATGATGATTCTGATGATGATGATGATGCTGATGCTGATGCTGATGCTGATGCTGATGATGATGATGATGATGATGATGATGATGATGATGATGGTGCTTCTGATGATGATGCTGCGGCTGATGATGATGATGCCGATGATGATGGGGATGGTGACGCTGATGACGACGATGATGATGCTGATGCTGATGATGCTGATGATGGTGATGATCATGATGATGCTGACGATCCTGATGATTACGATCGTAATGATGATGCCGGTGATGCTGGTGCGGAGGATGACGATTCTGATAATGAGCAGGAGTAGGATGATGAGTCCATGAGGATGATTAAGCTGCTGATGACGATGAGGATGTTGCTGCTGCTGCTGATGACGATGATGATGAGGATGATGTCGCTGATGGTGATGATGATGATGATGATGATGATGATGATGATGATGATGATGATGATGACGATGATGATGATGATGATGATGATGATGATGATGATGATGAAGATGATCATGATGATTCTGATTATTGGGATGAT